ATTGAGCACTGGCCCTGGCTGTCACAGTGTCTGCACCGGGGCAGCCAACCGGTGTCCGTAGAGGGTCTGGGCGAACCGCTATCCGATGCCTGTCTCTATGCTTGCCGGTAAGTCTCCAACCGCCCATCTCCTCCTTGCCATTATATCGACTTCATTTATTCTGACATTCATGCTTACTAGGAGACTTGCTTAGTTTCTTACTGTGCACTCAGTTACAGTCCAATTCATGCAGACATTTTAGCCATGCTATACTTCTTGAGGTTTTTGTCGCTGGCTGCCATGTTGTTACCCTAAGGACTGAAATACGGCCTCCATGACAGCACAGCTATTTTTCATTCTAGTCCAAAGCATAGGCTACGCCGATTAATCTAGAGTGCTGTTCAATCTAACGGGTACTCAACCATGGCTCACTGAACACTCTCCCCTTTCTAGATACCAGCGTCATTGCTTCCTGCAGTCCCTGTGCCTACCACCGACCCTCCCACCGTCGCCGCCGTCGCCGTCTTCAAGGGCCGCCTTTTGTGCTGGCGCGTGTACAAAGCCTTCGTTGGAGTTATCCTTTCCCCCTCCGTCGCCCACTTCCCACCCATAATTATTTGTACTATTATAAGCATGATTCTCCCTCGTCCCCATTTTTGAACTTTTGTAGAGTATTATTCATTACTCTCTTGTTTATTCCATTCCACACATTAGACGCTGTTTCGCTGAGCTTCACTTTCCCTCATTCTCGCCCGCGCTAACTCGCAGGATTATATCGCATTTGTTCAGTCCACTCCCCACAGTCGTAATTCACTTCCTTCTTATTGGAATGATTATCCTTGGTGCCGGATTTTGTAATCGTCCTTCTCCTCATGTCCATTCTATTTTACGTAATAAATCTTGTTCTTTTATTCTACACTCTCTCTATCTCTCATCTTGATAAGTTGGACAATGACTTCTGGTGGTGCTGTGTCTGGTCATAGTCTGCAGACAGGAAGTTTATATCAACAGATGTATCTACATCCGGGGGGAATTTTGGCAAGTGAGACTTGCGTGACAGTGTGTGTGCGAGTCTATGGTTAGTACTGTCACGACAACTGACTGACTGCAGTAGCATCTCAATTAAATATGTGGTTCGATTCTGGCAAGGATGACACCAGTGGTTTGCATCCATTACAGTCGGTTATTATTACTATCATCATTACAATGTGTCGATTTGGCGATAAGTCTCCGATTTGGAAGTGCGCTGTTGATCGGATATGGCTACTTCGGGTGATGGGATTGAAGATCACGGTCTCCAATTGTTAGGCCACGTAGACAAGCGCGAATCCACAGGAATAGCCACATTCGGAGGAGGGAAATATGATAGAAGTGTATCCGATGATATCCTGCCGGGGATGATGGGTGTGGTACTTGTACATGCACTCGATACGGCTGCGATCATGCCTGATCTAGCTGGCCTCGATCATGTCCCGAACTGTACCTCTCCACGCGTCACCATCCGCGGCAGCAGATACGGAGAGTTCAATCCATTCCCTTCGCCAACGACGCATACTAAATGCCGAAGGCCCAAGAAGCACCTCCATGTCTTGACGAATTCTTTCGAGTCATGTTCCAAGTTAACGCCTTCCTAGACGCCTCCAATGGGGCAACGGTGCCGGATCGAGCGCAGCAACATTGAGCTCCTGTGGTGGACAACGAAGAACATGCTGAAACTCCCTCAGTCGCCTTTCTTGGATGGCCTGGGATATGATCGCTCTGTTATCACCGTGAGTACGGACTGTCTCATCTGAGGCGATGTCGGCGTACCTAATTCGAAGGAATGTCCTCAAGTGGCGGTGGTCAAATACCTCCAGTTTTCGCTCGTCCTCCTCGCGCAAAGTCTTGCATTTACAACCATGTAGAAGGAGGGAACGGACAGATGCGCAGTACACTCGAATCTTAGTGGCGATGATTTCGCGTCTGATCCCTAGGCATTTTCTAATGCTTGAGAAAACCCGTGGGGCAGCATCTATTCCGGAGGAAATATCATCCTCACTCTGCCTATTCGGCATCAGCCTCCTTCCGAGGTACTCAAACTGTCTACTTCTTAAAGTTGACAGTCACAAATCCCGAAAGCTACCTTCTTCTTCTTCTCAGGAATGCAGCTTGAAAACACTCTATTCTTCCCAGCGCTTATGCACAAACCAACCGATTTAACGATCTCGTTCACCCGTGACAACATAGACTGCAGATCACCGAAACGTGAAGCAAGTAAGGCAATATTTAGAAGCATATTCGAGACCAGTCGGTCGGTATCCGGGTGCAAATTCAACACCGTCACCCTCGTGTAGGCCCTCCCGAGAATTGAGTTAATAGCGTATTTGAACAGAATGAGCGACAGGATACAACCCGGTCGAACGCCATACCGAATAGCAAAAGGCTGGGAAAGATTGTTGCGTACGAGTACTTGCGCGATGGCGGTGCGATAATACAGTAGGCGGGTTAGCTCATGAAATGTCAAAATGCGTTTTCGTTTCGTAAAGATTAATTAAGAAGGGTTGTAAAACTAACCATCGCGAAGCATAATTCTATCATAATTCAGTTACCTCAGAATGTCCGCTTCCAAATGAACTTACTAACGACTGCATGCAAGAACTATAGTCTGCAAAAATTGACTGCATATGTAGCATGCAAATTTTTCATTGATTTTCGATGCCCCATAAAATCAAATTATAACTTATGTAAAACATCTATAAAATTATCCATTCTTCCGCTCATTTGGTAGACATTTACGTCTTCTTCCAACTGTATACTCGACGAAGGTTATTGTTCGGTTTTCAAAAATATTTCATAATCCCGAATGATTTTGAACCCGCTCTGCCGTCACGCTTTCATTCAGGGTTTCCAAACTACAAGCCATGTATTTTCCGCGTCCGGATAACCCACATTTCTCTGAGGTATTCAGGGGAGACCCCATGGGGTTCACGACGTTTCGCAATGGATTTGATCCGTATTGTTAACTTTACAAGCCAAATTTGTTAATACAGATACATGACGTTCTAGGAACGACCATTTCACGGTATTAAAAAATCCCACAATTAGGAAGTTTTAGAAAAACGAATTATATTCTTCCATCAAGTATGAAGTTGGAAGAAAACGCCATTTTCTACCAAATGCGCAAGAAAATGAATATTTTTATGCATGTTTTTCATGTATTATAATTGAATATTTAGGGGCATCTAAAATCATGAGAAAAATGCACGCTACGTAAGTAGTCATTTCTTGCGGAGCATAGTTCTGCATGCAGGCGGAAGGAAGTTCATTCGACAGCCAGCATCGTCAGGTAACTGAAATATTATATGATTATACTGCAGGTTGATAAGCTTTACAACCCTATTTAATTAATCATTTCGAAATGAAAACTAATTTGGGAATTTCAGCTGACATTTCACTACTGTAGACCTCGAGCATGGCGATCATTTTTAGCGATACGCGATCTGGTGCCATTAGCCGCCACAGGGATGCACGATAACGGAATCGAACGTGGCGCCAAAGTCAACAAAGCAGACGGCCTTCACTTGCTGGTAGCATAGATAGGGAAAATTGCCTAATAATAATAATAGCTAATAGTACTGATTATCTTCGCATTAACGTCAATGTTGCGTAGCTTTCTTATGATATCGGAGACTTCTGTTTCAGAAGGAGGGTCGCATGACACTGCATAGGCAGGAGAGGGAAGAAACTCCTCTGCAGAGGAGAGCAACGGCGTGGTGGGTTAGATATAAAAGTTGAGACGGTGCTCAACGTGCTCACGCTAGAACTGCACTTTGGCTGAATTTTCAACACTAAAGTCGTCATTCACGTTGGGAACAGTGTTACGCAGTGTAAAGGACTTACCATTAACTTGGTGGATAATTTGTTAGCATTTTCGAGTGTCACCAACGTTCGAGGTCTGTGCAATCGAGGTCGATATTTCAATCCAATATTTCTCCCGGTCATCCCTGTCCGAATTTGCCGTCATTTCTCAAGTTTGGCGGAGCGAATCATCAATACGTAACCTGGCTTGAACCGTCTGAGCAGACAACTGCAGGGCTTTTCTGCTGATCCAATCACTGTGCTGTCGCTACGTATATCCAAGGATTTTCTCAGCTGCCCCATAGATTGACGTTTTCGACGGTGACGACCATTGGTTACTGCCTTGTCCGTCCGCTGGGGGGGTCGTAGAACAGGACCGGATTTCTCTGCTCAGGGCCTCCGTTGTGCTGGTTTGCCGAATTTATGCCACATATAGACGTCTAGGAGGGGGCATTTGTGGCGCGGATGAGAGCTGAACCTTCAGTTGTGTTCGAATGAGGACATGGTCCGACCCATGGCCATCCAATCTGCCAAGAACATGATTACAATTGGTGAAATGCGATTGACAAGAAGTCGGTTCTGATCAGCGAATTTCAGCAACCTCACGCCATTCTCACATCGAGATGCAGACACAAAGCGACCAAGAAGGTAACTGTTTGGGAAGTCCTCAGGTCCAGTCCGATCATTCCAATCCCCGGCAACAATCAGCAGATCGCGGAGAAGGAGTCTTTCAACTAACGATTGCAACTGAGACTGAAACTCCTCTTTATCGCACAGTTCGATGGCGGAATTTAGTGCCTACTCAGAGACAATGGAGATATTACTAATGTGGGCCATCAGTCGCACGTAGGCCATTCGGGCATTGAATGGTTCCCAAGCAAGTAACGTGAGGTCCCTGTCGAAAGTAGTGTGGTCGACAAGATAAAGATTCCCAATCAAAAGTCAGAGAAGACGGTTTGAGTCGGACAACCTTTTCTGATTGGAAAGCGCGTACACAAGGCTCTGTAGGCAGTCTACCCGAGCACATTCTCCATGCAGGTTGTTGTCTGAGTCCGTCTTCGAGGTGTTGTGTCCCAGCGCCTATATGCGCCCTCCGTTGTCTCCGCGTCCGCCAGCCAATCAGAGGGGGACAGCGCTGATTGGTCTGGAGCACTTACGAGGTTATTGACAAGTCCCGCGCCTACCAACGGCGTATCGACAAGGAGCGTGAGGCGGACAGTAAAGCAGCGCGACAAAGGCGGATGGTAAGGAGACGCGACCTGCCACAGTATCCCCCTGTTGGACCGAAGGTGGCGAGTAGCGACGTTGAAGGAACTGTTGATGTCCAAAACACATGAGTAACCAAACGGTCAGGAAAATGAACATGCCGTCCACTACGGGTGATATATACAGGGGGCACAGGAGTAGAGTGAGTATAGCTCGCGGATACAGTGTTGGTGGTTGATGAAAGGGAGTAGGGAAGGTGCCACTGGGAGCTTTGTTGTGCCGTTGGACCTTATTCCGTTGACAGCCGAGACACGCCCGTGCCCATGCTTTCAGGTCCTTGTGCATTCCAGACCAGACGAAGCGTTCGGAAACCAGCTTGTCGGTTGCTCGACTCCCAGGGTGAGAGAGATTGTGCAGGGAGGAGAAAACTTTGCGGCGAACGGATGGTGGCACAAATGAACGATGCGAATTGGGGATACGTCGCATAAAATGGTACCGTTGCCAGTTGTCGGTGGTACCTCCTGAGGTTGGAGTCCGGAAACATCCTCATCACAGGGTGAACCGACACGGCGTTGTTCAGCGGCCATCTCATTGAGGTCGATCCCAGATGATAGCTGAAGGTGAACGATAGAGGGCCTGGACAGTGCGTCAGCCACCTCATTCTTCGTGCCATCAATGCGGCGGATGTCGGTGGTGAATTGGGAAATGTAGTGCAGGTGGCGGATCTCCAGAGGGTTTAGTTTATCCGAGTGGGAACGCATAGGAAAGGTGAGTGGCTTATGATCTGTGAAAATTGTGAACTCTCGACCTTCGAGTAAATGCCAGAAGAAAGCCAAAGACACGGTAGAATCTGACAGACTTTGTTGAAGAGCCGCGCCAACAGCAACATTGTTGGCATCGACCATCAGAGAAAGTGAGTCAGGAGGGTGTCATCAGCCAGAAGGGCTTTTACCTGCCCAAATGGCGTGAGTGCTGCTGGTGTAAGTTCAAGGTTTCGCTTGGAACCTGAGAGGAGACTTGTCAGATGTAGGATGTTATCGGCACATTTCGCGAGAAACCGGCGATAACAGTTCACCATACCAAACAACCGTTGCAACTGACGCTTCGAGGTAGAGAGTGCAAAGTCCCGAATGGCGGCAACCTTTGAGGGAAGAGGCCGTATGCCCTGGGAGTCGACCAGATGACCGAGAACTTCTAGGGAGGGCACACCTAAGACGCATTTGGACGGGTTGAGAACAACGCCAAATTGTTGAAGGCGGTCAAACACCGTTGCCAGATGTTCCAGGTGTTCTTCGGTGGTGGAGTTGACTACCAGCAGGTCATCGATATAGGCGTAGACAAATGGTAGGCCGTAAAGCACTCTGTCTACGAACCTTTGGAAGGTCTTAGAGGAGTTACGAAGTCTAAACGGCATGCGCAGGAACTGAAAGAAGCCAAAGGTGGTGGTAACGGCCTTCTTCGAAACGTCCTCTGGGGCTATGGGAATTTGGTGGAAAGCACGGACCAGATGGATCTTCGAGAATACAGACCTGCCGAATAGGACACCGGCAAAATCCTGAAGATGTGGGACAGGTTAGCGGTCCGGGACAGTAACGTTGTTCAGGGCCCTGTAATCACCGCATGGGCGCCAGTCACCAGTTGCAGTTTTTGGAACCAATTGGAGGGGTGAGGCCCATGGGCTTTCAGACTGACGAATGATGCCCATTTGAAGCATGTGCTCGAACTCGGACTTGGCGGAAGCAAGACGTGCAGGCGCGAGACGGCTGGGGGCGAGAAAACACGGGAGGATCAATGGTCCGGATATGGTGAACAACGTCGTGTGGTGGAATAGAAGCGTTGAAGTTGGGAAGAGTGAGGGCGGGGTATTTGGCGAGTAGTTGCCGAAATGGATTCTCGGGGTCAGAGCCCGGGAGGGCGAGTTGACAGGAAGCGTCGGAGGAAGAGATACCCCGGTCAGTGAGGTTGGTAGCCTGGTCGTGAAGACTTGACTGACGGCAGTCGACCAGAAGATCGAAAGCGGCGAAGAAATCTGCCACGAGAAAGTCACATGGGATGTCAGCAAGGACGAACATCCAAGGGAAGAGACGCCAGAGACCGATGTCCAGAGAGTGGGAGCAGGTGTCAAATGTGATAATCGTCGATGTGTTGACGGCCTGTAGGAAAAGACCGGGATTGGGGCCTCGGCTGCTTATTCGTCAGACTCGGGTCTGTTTATTTCGCAGCTAATCTTCACTGAGGGCGGTTCAACTATCCGCCAACTGTTGACACGCCGGGTAGCCATCAGCTAGGCTAACGGGCTACCAGTCTTAGAGGGTGAGGTAACTGATGAATGTGTCCGTACGTGGGCATAGCCTTCGACACGTTCTCTTAATCAGCCGTATAGTGAGCAGCAGTGATGCTGAAGGGGACTAATAAAGTCATTGGATTCTGCAGTGGCCACCTCAGTTTCATTGGCCAATAGGCGGAATGTGATTATCCAGTGAGTTGCTGACTGTCTCTTCGTCCTGATCGGAGGACCGACTTGTCCTATCACGGTAGCTAGCTTGCTTTAAAGTCTGGAATATGCAGTGAGTGCCGTGATGTCAGAATCACCACATTGGAATTCACTCTTCATTTACTCTTCCGGACATCAGACAACACTCTGGACCGATAAGGCATTTGATGTGGATATGGGGCAGGCATGCTGAACAGTGCTGAAACAGTTCGTCTACATGTGCCACACACGACCCATACAACCACCACCACCACCACTACTACCACCACCCCCAACACCACCACCAACACCACCACCAACACCACCACCAACACCACCACCACCACGCAAACGAACTGGGCTACTGGGACTTACTCATAGGAATCGGTATTGAGGAATTCCTGTTTTAGCATGTAAAAGCAATGACCCAGATGCCAGAATATAAGAGAGCCGTCACATCAGCTCAGTTCAACATGGCTTCTCTGAAAGGTGATCCTGGCTCACAAACCTGCTTACGTTGCTCGGACATCGGTCAAAGGCGATGGAGGAAGGACATCCAGTGGATGTCATTTTCTCTGATTTCAGCAAGTGCTTGATTTTCGTTCCACATAAGCGCATCCTTCAAAAGATGTATAGCGCATAGTCAAGAAAAAATCCCACAGTGGGAATCGACATCTTTCAGGCGGTCGTAGATAAAAGTTAATCTTGGTGGCTACTGTTTAGAATGTACGTCTCATAAAAGTGTAATGTAACATGGGTCAGTTCTGGGGTCGCTCATATTCTCCGTCCATCTAAATCATCTAGTACGGCAAGGAAAATTGGACATAGCGTCCTTTGCGGATGATCTTAATCTGTAGACGGTGATAAAAGATTAAAAATACGGCAAAGATCCCACGCGGATGTGCCTCACTCATAGTCGGCTATTTAAAGGAGTGATTAAGATGTGCAGACAATCTGCAGCCAAACTACGGACAATCACATTGGACTGCACTCTGTCCTATTGTCCGAAATTATTCTTTGTGTAAACGTCTTTTTCTCATTCCGTTCCAAGTTCAAAAGTTCGGCATTCTGAATAGCTACCTCGAATGAGTGCATTTCTATGTTCCAATTTCCTCCGAATTCACTCTGACCATCAGTCGTACTACTGAATATATACTGATGAGTTGCGTTCATCAGATGTGATGCCCGGTCATGGCGTTGATTTCTCTCGCCCTGCCGTTAGATCTATAATCAGTCGTCGGCAGAGAGCAAACGTCTTCTGGAGGTTAGGGGACAGTCCATGGGATATTGCGTTGAGACTCCATTTATCCTTCCTCCAGCAAAGTAAATTCTATCAACCCAACCGACATACTCTGTCGAATTTCATTATTTACCTCTCTGGACTCATCAATTCCTTGCCCTGCGGCCGAGCAGAGGATAATTTGTGACTCTAATCCTCGCAAGCTGCAGACGCATGATATATCATTTCTACCGTTGGCTGACTTTCAGTCAACTGAATTGCCTCTTGAATAAATAAGGAGGATATTATGCTTCGTATATTTTCTTTATGTATCCGACGACACAGGGGGACCGTATTTTGGGGTGGTAAAATTGTTTGCTGTCCCATTAATCGGAGAATCAGCTCACCACCGCTGTTAGGAACTGGTTCCGATGCATAATAATTAGTAAATTGATGGGGTCACTAAAATAATGCCCACTGATATGATTCGCTATTAAGATGCTGGGTCAATTTAAACCTAACTTCGGACGTTGTCTACATACCTCATCACAGCCCAACCCAAACTAACACTGAACAATGGGTCCCACATAACTTTGCATAATATCCCATTATCATGGTCAAATGCCCGCCTTCCTGGGATTTTTCAAGACACTTTGCTTCGCCTGTGAGTGTATCAGGCAATTCAAATGTCCTGAATCGATTTTGTGCCAGACTACATGTCGGTCGATTTTGGGCGTTTGAACGTGGCCAAACGACTTGCGCGTCAGAATTCAGAGACTGACAATGGCGAACGCTACCCCGACTACTTCGGTGAACTGCTCAAGGCGCCGGGCGCAAAAAGTGACACAATTATTTGGACGGCTCGCCAGATGGGCCAAGAGGCACTCATCTGTGTTGTCTTCCAGTGGTAAGTGCTGTATCATTTCATCGTTGTCGGATCACTAAATGTACGATGGTCTGGAATTTGATTTTGGTTAAGATAATGTCTTGTGTTGGATTGTTCCCGGCTCCCGTCTTTCAGTCTCAACACTATAGTAAAATAGAGGTAGGATGGAAACTGGTCCAGGAGACACTAGTAGTGTTTTCTTGATTGCCTGGCCTGAACTTATACTACGTGTCCCAGACACTATGGACGCTCTCATACACCAACAATGTTTCTGCCTACTTGATTAGCCACACGATGCCGGACATATACACCAGGTTGCAAGTTGCGACTGTGTTGATTCCACAGAGTCGTTAGGACGACATGCATTTATGCCAATGTCCGAATATTCCCAGTCCATTTTCACGTTAGTTGTAGCCTTCAATATTACTTCTTGGCAAGGCATGTTAAAGATGGCAAATGTGAGGCAACCAGAAATGCCTTATGGCACGTCTACATTACCAGCAATCAGGCTATTTATTTCCCTCCTTCCAGGCTGCCCGCAATCTGACTTCCCAGGGGCCGCATTCGGCGGCCGTTTGACACAGCAGGCAGAGGCGCCTCATCACACAGTAAGTACTCTGGACGCATGATAATGATAATGCTGATGCCGGTGCTGATGATGATGATGATGATGATGATGATGATGATGATGATGATGATGATGATGATGATGATGATGATGATGATGATGATGATGATGATGATGATGATGATGATGATGATGATGATGATGATGATGATGATGATGATGATGATGATGATGATGATGATGTCCAGTTGGGCCATTTTACATTCCACTGTCTGCTCTATCCTGCCACTAAACATCTTCCCTCTTGTATCGCCCAGGGTGTCCCACGCCTACTGGTGGAGATGGTCGAGGCCCTGCGTAGACGTGGCCTATGCATGGAAGGCATTTATCGAGTGCCAGGACGCGCCTCCAGGGTTCAAGAAATAATTCAACTGGCAAATTCCGTAAGTCACCTACCTCATTAATCCTATGCATGCAGTGAAACATCATGCAACACAGAATATTCAGCTGACTTACCCTTAGTTGTACACTAACATGCAGATTCGCATATGTTTGCCCTTTCAGAATGCGGGGGAGCTGTGTGACCGCTTGGTGTGGGATGAGGAGGCGTTTGATGTTCGCTCATTGTCGTCAGCCATCAAGCGCTACGTGGGCGCACTTCCTGTCAGTCTTCTTAATGCCAACATGTTTATCTCCTTTGTGGCGTCGACGGTGATGGGGACAGCGTCGGAGAGAGGTGGCCGGTCTCTGCGGACACCGGCAGGCCTGGCGAGCGCCTTATGCCAGTTGCGAGTAGCCCTCATGAAGGCATTTGGCTGCCCTGGCAATTCAAAGGCTGAGGACCGAGAGAGAGGG